CTCCAACCCCACCCACCCCCCAAGCCCCTGCCACCCCTCACCCACCCACGCCCATGCTCATCTGGATGCGCCCTTAAAGTTCTTACAGTTCTATCCTACTGCACCCAATGGGAGTTTTGCCATTTACTTCTATGCCAATAAGATCAGGTCCCAAGTATTGTGCCAATTATCCCAGTATCTCCCAGACATCACTAGAACATGCAAAAGAACCTAAAGTTTCACTCCTGGTAGATTGGTTGCAAATGGCTGAGTGTCAGATCACAGCTCGAGAAATGCTAAGAATCACTAGTCCAGCCATCTGATGCCCAGGAGAAGGTAAAACAAAAGGAAAGGAATAAGTAAAGCATGCTGTGGTCTTAATGCTAGGCACTGTCTCTTTTACCTGTGTGAATGCCCCTGCCTTTCACAGACTTGGGGAAGAGGAGATCCAGGCTGTTATACAGAACCTGAACCTCTTGGCTCCATGATTAGCGAGCCATTATTGGAAACAGGTTCTGGGAAAGAGGCCAGAAACAACAGTGACAAGAGGGTAGGATTTATACATGAGAAGGCAGAACTGAGATTAGTTGACTGAAAAGGAAAAGTTAGAAATGATCTGACTGAAGAGTCCAAAATGATGAAGAGCCTAGGTGACATCCTTATCCTCTCAGGCCTACAACAGGACATAAGACAGACTTGTAAAATTAAAACATAGAAAAATGTAGAATAAAAAAAACATTTACACAGCATAAGTTACAGCCATCCTACAGAACTAGTATGAAACAAAACACTGTACAATGAATGGACACATGGTCTGCTCCAGTTTGGTAGAAGATGGGACAGTGGACCACAGGCCAGTTACCTGATACTATATCATTCCCACCAGGCAAGGGAATCAGCTTCTGGCTCTTGCCCTACAATATGGACCTTCACAGAAGTGATTTTACCTTCTTATGGGTGGCCTTGGTTCGAGGCAGCAGGTCAACATCCAGTGTAGGTACAGAATGCTTGTATTTGTGTACAAAGGCTTGAGACTCCTTCCTGTCTTTGTCTATAGCAAGAAGAAAGAAGAATGGAAATACTAAGGGACTGATGCCAAAGCAATACAACCAGAGAACATTTCAGCTGAACTGGACATGAGGCAGCCTGCTCCCCCTTTCTGTTCTATTATGTCTTGTAACTGACTTTGGAACACAGAGGTGAAAAGGAACACAGCGTATCTCACTACTACAAGATATTAAATAAGGGATCATCTCAAAGAAGTAAAAATAGCAAAGGTGATATCATGGTTATATATCAAATGAGAAATATTATGTTTAGGGGAAATTACCTTTCCTTAACTTAAAGAAAGGATGGTCTTGTGACTAGAAAATCTGAGTTCTGTAAATGGCAACCTGCATGAACTGGGACAGGTCACCTGAATGCACGTTGCCTCAGTCTCCCCAACAACTATTTCCCTACCAAGGTGCTCAATTACTGCAATGATGTGTGCCACAAACATCAACTGAAAAATAAATCCATCAAAATCTTCTGCTCTTTGTAGCACAATCACACTTTATTTGTATTCCAGGTTTCTGAGGGCTCCTTAAACCAAATCGGTGAGATTTGCTGGTTAGTTATGTTCTAATCAATTTTACTGCTTGAGTCCACACCGTCAAGATATCCACCCAGTATTCACTGTAGTCTTAAATCTGCAGACACTTATGTCCCTGAACAGCCCCAGTGAACCTAATAGGACTTTTCATGGGCTTCAAGTTAAGCCTGGGTATAAATATTTGGAAGATCAGGACCTAAATTCCCCACACCTTTCCCAAGAGATTCAATGGACTCAAAACTTGGGATGAATTCTCTGCAAGCAAAGTAAACTTTGTTTCGAAGTCCCAGTCAAGAACCCAGAGCTATATCCAAGATGTGAAAAGATGAACTGTTGGTACATTCAGAATCTTCCAAACGTATGGCAAATTAGTCTTTTTGATATCCCAAGTGCAAGACAATACTGAGTGCTGCTCAAGATATTCGTGGGTTTTATACCCCAGTCTGGATAATCCCAACAGAAAATGTTTTAATCTGAGACTCCACTGGGAAGGAAATATGAGTATACCCAGTATTAACTGGCAGGAAATATTCTAATCTGGAGCTCCTTAACATGTATTCATCTACCCAGCAATGATGCCCAAACTATGTGCATATAAAACATGTGTGCCTCTGTCCGTGGCTGCCTGGTAGTGCTTTTTCTCTCTTCTGAAGCTCTTCTGTATTGAGTGTGGCTTTGATGACTCCAAATCTTCGAGCACCTTCAATGACAACAACACAAACAAAATATGGTGATGGGTGAAAGGACCTCATTCCTTTCAAAGTTATGGAGTTTAGGAACAAAAGGTTCTGTGACCCTTTCAGCAGCTACTTGAGCTTCCATCTTTTAAGTTTTCAAACAATGTAATTCTACAATCAATTAACTCTATTTTTTAATTTTCTGCAGCTCCTTCTTGTATTTTATTCCTTACAATTGCTCTTTCATTCTCTTCTCTCTAAAACACACAATTAATACATTCACTACATCCCCACCTGGAATTGCAAGGCTGCTCTAATTTTGTGGCATCATTCCACTAATTTCTTTACCACCTTTAATACAGTATATTATTAATTTCCAGTACCTAGATTCTCCCAAAAAGGACCAGGATCCTATGATTTCTGAAGCACCTACCCTGACAGAATCATGAATTGCCTAATGTTGTGTCAGGAGACACCTCTGTGCCCATGCTTTTCCTTGTTACATGATCTCTACTCACCAGGCCAATACCGTGGTATCTTTTCAAATCCAATTCAAAACGAGCGATTTTCCTGTTCACTTCCTGCATGCTGCCAATGAGGCACTCTAAGAACGAAGGTATGTTAAGGAACCTCTTTGGAGAGTATTAATAGCATAATAAACTACACAAAATTTGTACTACTACTCTTTTTTCTCTTACTTTACTTTTCCTCCCTTATATTTCTTTTCTATTTTGATCTTGTTCTCTCTTGTTCCCCAATCACCCTGTCCTGTTATCTAGTAACTCCATACTCCAAACCTTTCAGGAAAGCCCCAGTAACACCTTACAGGGGTATAGGTTGTAGCCGTGTTGGTCTGAGGACATAGGCAGACAAGGTTCTTTGGGTAAATCTGCTATCTTTTATTAGACCAACTTAAATAGTTGGAAAACAATTTTTAAGCAAGCTTTCAGGTTCAAAAGCCCTTTGTCACGCTAAGGAAGTTTCAACAGTTGATGTGTGCTCTTCCTGGATGGAATGAAAAGTAAAGCCAGAGGCTGGGCTGGTATGCATACAAGATAGGCAGTCAGTGAAGATGGAGTTTGAGGAGTCAATGGGTGAGAGACAGGCTGGATGGTAGGGGAGAAAAGGGGGATGAATAGTGGAGAAGTAACCTGGGGAGTCAGATGTCAGGCAGGTTATAATGTGTTATAAATCCAATGATTCCCGGATCTTACAGCTGCACCCCCAGAAATGTAATATATCTTATCCAATGCACAAAATGCCCTGATGGAAAATACGTAGGAGAGACCATACAACAACTGCGCACCAGAATGAACACACACTGGAAATTTATCAAAGACAAGAATACCCAACTACCTGGGGGGCCACATCTCTCACAAGAAACCACTCTCTCTCCAATCTCTCAGTCCTGATCCTCAAAGGAAACTTACAAAACACTTCCCAGAGATGAGCCTATGAATTCCACTTCATCCACCTCGTGGATACTAAAAATCATGGACTAAATATAGACATTGGATATATGTTGCACGATTTTTTTTAAAAAAACCACACGGTCTATTTCAAAATCTCAGGGAATGTTCCAGGAATTCATGAGCAGGACATGAATGATTTTGATCAAGTCAGGCTTTTTCCCCATTTTCCAGTTTTTGTCAAAAATCAAAAGGGGTAGAAGGGTGGTGAGAGAGGCCTAGATGTAGCAGATGGTAGGCTGATGGTAGGCACTTTTCTGGGTCTATAGCTCAGTCTATGTAAGCAAGGAAAAGAAGTGTGTGATCATCTAGTGTCTGCTGTTCACTATACTGGCAAAAGATATTTGAAGGTTTTTCATCCAGGCCCTGCTGGCAGGTGTCAGTCTCCTCTGCATGCTTCAAAGGCAACATCCCCAGGAATTCTCCAAATGAGGTCACTGATGCAGTGTGGTTAGCCATTTTTCCAGTGCTAAATACCAACTACTTCCTAGCAAAGGAGAAACAGACAAAGCATTTTTAATTTCCATTAAAAATTAGGGTTATCAATTAATCACCATTAACGTGTGCAATTAAGGAAAGAACCAATTCACATGCTGTTATTTTTTTAACCCGTTAATCACACACGTGGTTTTGGAACCTGTGCCTGGGCTGTCCTGCCGCACTGTTGTCATGGCTGCATCTGGGCTGCCTCTGGGGCAGCAGTGGCAGTGCAGAGGAGCCGTATGGCAGCCCAGGCGCAAGCTACAGGCAGGAGGGGGGCACACCCACACACCCAACCCCCATTCAGGGCCCTGAGCAGCTGGGCTGGCAGCGCCAGGGGTTCAGGGAAGCTGGCACTGGGCCATGGCAGGGCTGCCTGGCACCCTTGGGCACCATGGCTTGGGCTTAGGTCAGGCTGGGACCGCCTGGGAGCTCTGGCACCACTTGCCCCATGACCCATGGGTCCCTGTGCATCCCCAGTCCAGGCCCCCAGGGAGTGGTGGTGATGGTGGGCCCGCGCCCCCGCGGAGGCAGCCGCAGCTGGTGGGTGGGGGTGGGATTCCTGCAGAGCCACCTCCCCCAGCCCCCACCATGCCACCTGCCCAGCCCCAACCTGGCGCTGCTGGAGCCTTAGCTATGCCCAGTGCTGCCACCACCACCAAGCTGGGCAGAGCTATCGCCCTCCTCCCTGCACTGCACAAGCTCCTGCTGGGACCCAGTGGATCCAGTGGCTCCATGCAGGTCCTGGCAGGAGCCTAGACAGCACAGGGAGGAGAGCAGCAGCTCTGCCTGGTGCTGTGATGGCACTGGGTGCAGCACGAGCTCCAGTGATGCTGGGCTGGGGCCAGGTGTGCAACATGGTGCAGGCCGAGGGCTGCAGGAGATCGCTCTGCAGGAATCTCGCCCCTGTCTGATGGCAGCAGCTCTCTCCACAGGGGCACAGGGCTCAGGGCATGGGGCTACCACTGCTGCTGCTCCCTGGGGCCCTGGACCCAGGGATGTGTGAGGACCCATGAACCCAGAACCGGCTTCTGCCAGAGCTTCTAGCAATCCCATCCCGCCTCAAGCCCAAGCTGTGGGGTCCAACGGTGCCAGGCAGCCCCACCACGGTGGCTCTGTGTGGGTCCTGGCAGGATGCAGAATCTGGATGGCTGCAGCAGGAAGGGGGGGGGGGGGCACATCCAGGCCAAGGGCAGCTGTGTGGAGACCCTGCTCAGATTGGGCATCCTGCCAGGGCATGAGGGGGTCCCCCTCTCCCTGGGCTCCAGCCCCCCTTGCAGGCTACCCCCCTCCCCAGGCTCCAAACCCCACATACAGATCCATAACCCCCTGCACCTTCACAAATTCCCCCTCCATACACAGACTCCCCACACCCACACAAAGTACCTGCATAATTCTGAATTTTTAACTGTGCGATTAAAATCTCGATTAATTGTAACTAATTTTTTAATTACGCAACTAATTGTGATCAATTTTTTTAATCATTTAACTATTTTTTGCCTCTAAAAACAAGCACCCTTTGAGAAGTATTGAATGTTGTTCACAGTGGGTTCATACTAGAATTTCTCTTTTTGACAAAGATACAACAGACAGCCTACTTCATATGGAAACCTCAGGACTTTTGGGTAGCCCAGGGGAGAGTATCCTCTGTAGATGATTCTTCCCATAAACAACAGAAACAGCTAGACTGTATGAGACTGAAGGAGATCTCAGTAAGCTCAGGTCTTTCCAGAATACTTAACAAAGAGACTTACAGAGACTTATTTTGGGATGCCACCAATTCCTTCCCTGCCATTCTGGCTGTAGGTACTTACTATACTTTTATAATTTTTGTGACAAACCCTTTATTATAATGCAGCAGTACGTTACACACAGGAAAATATAATAAACAGGAAATACAAGATACAAGGTAAAAGAAACACTGAGGCCCAGGGTGACATTAAGTTCTCTGGCTATGTTAACATTTTAGTATAGGAGGCAAAACCCATAGTCCTTCTTTTGGCAAATGAACAACCAACCCTAGCAAAAGGTCTTGTATGAAGATATCAACAAAGATCCCTTTGATTTGGGAAAGCATTGGGATAGGAGGGAAGAACCAAAAGCTGGGCCAGTCCAGATGGTCATACAATCATAGACAATGAGGATTGGAAGGGACTTCAGAGGCGCAGACAGAAGTGACAATTTTTGCCTGATCTGGCCCCCGAAAGCAGTGTACAGTCATGACCAAACAGAAGTGCAAGGCTGCAGAGCACTTTAAAAGGGTCCAATTCCATGAAAATCTGAACCCTCATTGCATGAGGGTTCAGATGAACAGGGTCCAAAATGGAGCGTGTTCTGCAAGTTGTGTCTGCAGAGCTCCCAATGTGTCGCTGTTTTCAGAACAGGAGTGGGAGGGAAGGGAGTAGAGTTTGGGGTTTTTTCAATGGGTGCTGGGTGGAGCAGGTGGACTGGAGCCCCCCAACCACCCTACCCTTAAGTGCCAGCTGGGGAACCCCAAGAACGATCTTCCTCTGCTCCCTCCCCACTATTCTGAAAACAGTGTGGGGGCTGGGAGGGGAGAGTGGTGGTGCTAGAGACCAAGCTTCAGCAAACAGCTGGAATCCCCAACTCCAGGGCCTGACTTCTGTTTGGGTCCAGGGCAGAGGTGACCTGAGCAGGGTGCAGGGCTTGGGGCAAATCAGCCTGTGTGGCACCCCACCTCCGGACGCAAGGAAGCCAGCAGCGGATTCGGGGGGGGGGGTGTGCCAAGTAGCCGGATGTGAAGCCAATGGCAGCACAGATTCGCCGCGGCCGCTTCACCTGGCTCCGCAGGGTCCCCCCAAAGTACAGGGCTTGGGGCAGTCACCCCAATTCACCCCCCCACCCCAGGGATGGCCCTGGTCCAGGAGGATTGCTGCAACTCAGAGCGCTTCCTGCAAAGCTATATGAACTGTAACAGGGAGCTCCTGTTCTGTCTGCGCCCATGACG